GATTGAGCAATGTTCTTAGCGAACATTCGTAGAATATTCCGATGGTCGAAGAGAACAAGCAATCGGAGCAGGTAGGGTTAAAATCTTAGAAATTTGAGAGTGAGAGAAGAAGAGAGAATCACCAGTTTCCGAGCTCCGATCGCATTCTCCGGGGGGGGAAGTTCCGATTTGCAGATTCGAAGTTTTTTTTTTTCCCGTCAGGTTCTCGAGAAAACTTAGAGGAAAGAAAAGTGGAGAAACAGAGACAAGAGTGCATATAACGGAGAAGAGAAATGTCGAGGTGGATTTGTGATTCAGTGATACCACCAATGAAAATATTCCACGTGTTAAATGTGACACGTGTTGAGATCTAAGACGCTTCGTTTGTTGGTTATTACGCTTACGGTAAAGTGGTGTAGGCCAGGCCTAGAAGTCTGGAGTGTTTTGATCAACAGTTCCATGTCAAACTTCTCGAATAATCAGAGGGTTCGGATTATGGGCCTTATGTAATTTGATAATGGGCCGTTTTTGGTTAAATATGGTATTCTTGAGAGTACCAAAATCAGAATTTTCTCTCCTATGTCCATAATTTTGTAACAAATGCATTTATATTATCTTTTTATATTTAATATTTTTCATAATTACTAGAGATTAAAACTGAATTATAAACGAAAAAATTAAATAAATGAGCACAAATATTATATACAAGATTGTGAAATATTTTTTTGGTAAATAATATAGAGAAGTGAAACAAAAGTAGATATAGAGAGACAAAAATGTGTATCGGAAGAAGACAACATAATCCGAATCAGCTTTGTCTACGAAGAAGGAAGCTAATGCTAATCAAAAACTGTTCGAAGAGAATTTGACCGCCTGACTACATAGAAAACAAAAATATTCTATTATTCTCTTCATGCCATTGAAGACTTTTCCCCATTGGTCATTTTATTGCTTTTTCATCTTCTTCGTTAAGTGGTAGTCAATTTTTCTTCTCAATTATAGTCCTCCATCGGGAGAGGTCTTTTGGTGAAGATGTCAAGGGATTTAACCTCAGATCTCTGCCTTTTTTTCATTAGTTGGTGAGCTTTTGGTGTCGTACTCGAGGATTTTGTTTTTAGCTCAATTTGGAAAAAATGTTAGAAATCAGGGGGGGAAAAACTTGATTTTACACTTGAAAAACTAAGGAATACAAACAAACAAAAACCCAACCGGTTTAAGACCAAAAACTAGATTTGAATAATATAAGACAAGTACAGGACAAGAGAGAAAGAGAGTTTTGGTGGTGTTATGTATGCCTATCCGATAGAAGTATCTATGAACACTTGAAGCAAACAAAGAAAGCTACTTAGGAAGCTGATATTCCTCTCCTCTACCTGTGTTGATCAATCTCCTTACAACAGCTGAAACAACAAAAGACTTGTCATTAAATCATGTTAGATTCTTATGTTTGTATGTTGCTATTTGATCAAGTTTGGATTTTGACCTACCTGGTTACAGTAAAATCCAGCGACCTCCATTGATGCAGCGGAACCAAATTTTGCTAGTCTGGGAAAACTTCGTCTCGCTCATTGTCTGCTGAAGACAAATGGTTATGTCCAGAGCTCGTGGTGTTGTTGTTGTGGTTCTCTTCTGGTATGTCTTCTTCTTCATCATCCGTTGTGGTTTTGTCATATGAGAAGGGTCTTTGACAAATGCAAGCTTGTGGGTACTCGTGGAACTCACCGCGTCCTGGTCTGAACTCATCGGGATCACCCATGAATCCGCGCTGACAAGATTTCACTTTCTTGGCGAATGTTTGCCACTCCATCTTTTCACGGTCCATGAACAACGCGCTGAGCTTCTTTGCATTTGGCCTGATGGTCCTCTTGTGCCCCATGTACCTCCTGTAATCACCATTTTCAGAAGTGATGATCTTCTATCTGATGGGTTTAGTAGATTAAATGAACATGGCAATTAAAGCAACACAAGAACCAACAATTCCTTGTGGATTTAATAGACCTATAATGAACGTGTAAATGAGGATGAACCGTGTTAGCCATAGCCATTCTACTTAATTCTATGTGGCATAGCAAGAGCAGTATCTTTATATATCTCCTACCGTAGTCTAATAAAATATAGCTTAAGCGATGGACACACTTTAGTGATAGATATGTTTTTGATTTGTTCAAGGAAATGAATGATGAGATTGTATCGCCCGTTGTTGCATACTGGTAAAATATATATGCACCAAAGGTCTAATAGGAACAAGTAGAAAGGTTCCTTACCTTCGGCCTGCGAGAATCTTAGCCATATTTCCATTATTATTAGTGATAAAGACGTCGCTTTCGTCGCTGACTATGTAGTCAATGGCAGCAAGGCGTGAAGAATAGGGAAGCAGCGGCTTGAGCTCATCATTGGCAAGCATTTCCTTGGTGTAAAAGTTTGGAAACAGCTCTCTAAGTGGTCTCAGTGTCTTCTCACCACCATATATTTCTCCAGATGCAACATAGATATATGTGTCATTTGCAAAACCAAGAGCACGCAGCATTAAGCCTACTTCATGAGGGGTAAGAGGGCATTTCCCACGCTTTCTTTCCTCCAGAGGGTCCAAATCCTGCGGTTATTGCCTAGTGAGATATTCTAGCTCCAAACAACTTAACCATACGAAAAGTATCTGAGTGTAATGCTCTCATTTTATGATAACAACAGAATTGAAACAAACTAGAGGAAGGAAAATATAAGAAGCAAAAACACAAATCTCAAGTTTCAGTTCATTGCATCTGTAGAAATGTAAAAGAGCTTAGCGAACTCACAGGTAATGTGTCCCATCGTTTTCTTATTTCTCCCAGCTCAGCTCGCTCTTTTTCACCCCCACCGAAGTCACAACCAGAAAAGGCTAACATATCAGGCTCAAACCTACATTTCAGAAAATTTTGGTTATGTACATAACATGAAGATGCAAACGTCATGGTTATATCACATGAACGAGAGACCATTACAGCAGAGAAAACAATCTAAAATGTCTTATGAAAGAAACTTAATAAACCTCAAATGGACAGCAATAAAACGTCTGGCCATCTTTCTCATTCGCTTCACCACTTTCATCCCGACTGATTGTATGCGCTTCGTGAATCTTAATGCGTGATAGTTTACCCTGCAGCGCAACTTTTGCATGTCTTCATCTAGATCATTTGCTAGTCTGTAGTCAAACTTTGTCAACTGTAAAACCTGCAAGAGTTCAAGAAAAATGAACTGGCTCCTACCAAACAAACCTGAAAGAGAAGCATAGAACTTTTGGGACAGCAGAAACAAACATAATGGGTGTATAATAGACGCATCAGATGATGAAACTAAATGATTACTAATACTTCTATCTAATGGTCTAACTAATACAATTTGATTCTTTGGTGAAATGTTCTTACATGTCTCCTCGAGAGAATTGGCAATACTTGATCAAGATAATACTCAGGAGTAGACTTTCGAGGCACACGCATTGTATACGGAGGTTTCTCCATTGACCGCATGACTCTGTCAGGAACTCTCTTTACTATAGTCACATCTTTGGTGAGGGAAGAGATGAACCAATTAACGTCAAAAATGTCATTAAAGTCACTGCACAACAAACAAAGAAATTACAAACAGATTCAGATGATGCATTCCCATAAGAAATCAAATATCTTCATTCGCCAAAACTTGTCAAATTTACCTGTCATCTTTCCAATAGGAATGGTGATCTAACTCAGGTACAACTAAAGTAGCATTAAGAATCCTTGCAACAACCACTGCATCTGTTATCTGTTCACAAAGAGAACGTTTATTTTCGAAACAAACAAAGGAGACAGCTGATGAAGATATAAGTATAGCATAACACGGAAAAATTACGCGGAAAAAAAGGCAAGTTTCTCCCAACTCCGAAAAGACAATAAGCAATATAACCATGAATACTCTATTTCCTAACACATTTAATCTCGAACCGTAATTTCACTTACTCCTGTTCTTTGCTGGTTCAGGCCTCCACTAGCTGCAATCAGCAAATACCCATTAGACGAACGCTCCAGGACAGCAGCTGCATGCCCAAAACAAGATTGAAAAAAAAAACAAATGTGAGAGGAAAATTTACCTACACAACAAAGTTTCAGTATTGAATCCTAATTTACCAGTACATCAACAGATTCCCAAATTTGTACCAAACTTTAAAAATTGCCTATTAGATCAATAAAGTCGAAAACTTTTCCTTCAAGACCAAATTTTTAGAACAAACCCAATTCCAATTAGGCAAGAACAAATGTAAGGACAAGAGCAGACATACGTGGGAAGTTCCTTCCTCTTTCACTGCATCCATAGAAAAACTTGGAATATTTCGACTTCCATACATCAATTGGTTCCCTACGGCTCATATCCTGACAATATCCCAATTCCAAGGTCAATGAACAGACTCAAACAAATCAAACTATCTACGACCTAAATTGAACTAACTTCTGCAATTAGAAAAGTACCAGTAAGCTTCGTTTGCTCAATTGTTGAGAATACCATTCAAGGTGAGAGGCAACGTGACCGGTGAAGAGTGAGATGACACCTAAAGAGAAAAGCATGAAACCACAAACCCATGTCCACATTACTGTTCTTTTAGGTTGTGTCGAGAAAGATCGACACTTCCATAAAACGCTCTTGTTTCCTCCATTGTTGTTAA